AGAAGAAAGAGGAGGAAGAGGAGAAGAAAGATCTGCTACCCATTTTTTCCCTCAAAAACTTAAGTCTTCCCCAGCTCATCCTGTCTTTCAAGCAGGACATCTAGGATGTAAAGACTTTTCCGGAAGATAGAGGCATAAGTGAACATACTTTGCATCCATGCACAACTACAGGAAAAGTTACAACTAGACTACAAAACAAATATCAACCAGATTTGTCAGAAAATCAAGGTACGTGGAAGTCCAACAACCAAATATTTAAAGATGCCACATTCATCCAGACAGGTAGGAGAGGGGCAGATGCGGAGAGGCACAGAGAGGCAGGGAGAAGCACAGAGAGGTGGCAGAATGGGTGGTCCTACATTCACATGTGGTGTATAAAAATTGGGAATGATATTTCAGAAGCAAGTGATCTCAGCCCCAGACCAGATGACCCAGCCAAGGGTTTCAGTGCCAGGAAGGTAAGTTCCCATAACTCCTGGCTGTAAAAACCAGTGAGGGTTGCAGTGGTGGAAGACACTGTGGGATTCTCAAGAGACTCCTGTTAAAGGGCCCACAGTAGACTTAGGATTCACACAGACCCACCTCCTCTGGGATTCAGCACCAGGACAACAGCTGAGGGCACAAGTGGCAGATGGGGAGAAGGGAAGAAAATGAAGTGACTGGCAACAGGGTGAGTGCCAGGAGACAAGTTCCTCCTGGGCAATCTCCAGAGGTCAAGCAGCAGCATTGTCCTCTCTCTGAGTCCTCTTCCACACAGAGCCACAAAGTGGTACAACTGGTTGCCCCACCCTGGTGATTATCTAAGGCTCCGCCTCACAAAATTCACAGTTGCCTTTTCTACTGTCAGCCACGTCACTAAGACAGGGAGTCAAAGTAGCTCTTTCTAATACACAGAAACAAACACAGGGAGGCTGCCAAGATGAGGAGACAAAGAAATATGGCCCAAATGAAAGAACAGAACAAAACGCCAGGGAAAGAACTAAATGAAATAGAGATAAGCAACCTATCAGATGCAGAGTTCAAAACACTGGCTATCAGGATGCTCAGAGAAATCATTGGGTATTGCAACAGCATAAAAAAGATGCAGGAAGAACTGAAGGTTCCATTAAATGAAATAAGAAAAATCTATAGGGAACCAACAGTGGAAGGGATAAAGCCAAGAATCGAATAAATGATTTAGAACATAAGGAAGAAAAAAAGCATTCAATCAGAAGAGCAAGAAGAAAAAGGAATTAAAACAAATAAGGATAGAATAAGGAGCCTCTGGGACACCTCCAAATGTAGCAACATCTGAATCATAGGGGTGCCAGAAGGAGAAGAGGAAGAACAAGAAATACAAAACTTACTTGAAAAAAAAAGCATACAAGAAAACTTCTTTATTTGGTTAAGGAAATAGACATACAAGCCCAGGAAGCACAGAGTCCCAAACGAGTTGGACCCAAAGAGGAATACACTAAGACACATTATAATTAAAATGCCAAAGTTTAAAGATAGAGAGAGAATCTTAAAAAGAGCAAGAGAAAAGCAGAGTTACCTACAAAGGAGTTCCCATAAGACTGTCAGCTGATTTCTCAAAAGAAACTTAGCAAGCTAGGAGGAACTCAAAATGTTGAAAAGCAAGGACCTACATCTAAGATTACTCTATCCAGCAAAGCTATCATTTAGAATGGAAGGGCAGATAAAGTGCTTCCAAGGCAAGGTAAAACAAAAACTGTTCACCATCACCAAGCCATTACTATATGAAGTGTTAAAGGGAACTAAATAAGAAAAAGATAAAAACTATGAACATTAAAATGGTAACAAATTCACACCTATCAGAAACTGAATCTAAAAAACAAACTAAGCAAACAAGCAGAACAGGAACAGAATCATAGATATGGAGATCATTTGGAGGGTTATCAGTTGGGAACGGGGAAGGGGAAAATGGGGAAAAAGGCACAAGGATTAAGAAGTACAAACTGGTAGGTACAAAATAAACAGGGAGATGCTAAGGAGAGTATAGGAAATGGAGAAGCCAAAGAACTTACATGTATGACCCATGGACATGAACTAAGGGAGTGAATTGCTGGGGGGAAGCGAGGTACCAGGTGGAGGAGGGCAGAGGGGATAAAATTGAGACAACTATAACAGCATAATCAATAAAAAATATTTTAAAAAAAGACTTTCCTGACCCCCAGTGATGAGGACCACATCTGCTTCCACACAAGAATCTCTGGCCTCCTGCCTGGTGTAGCTCAGTGGATTGAGCACTGAACTGCAAACCAAAAGGTCTCATGGTTCGATTCCCAATCAGAGCACATGCCTAGGTTGCTGGCCAGGCCCCCAGTATGGCATGTGAGAGGCAACCACACATTGATGTTTCTCTCCCTTTCTTTCTCCCTCCCTTCGCCTCTCTAAAAATAAATAAATGAAATCTTAAAAAAAAAGAATCTTTGGCCAAACTTCCAGACACCTGTCATTCCACTGAGCCCCAATTCTAAAACACTGTTACCCAAAGCATAGTCTAGAGATCAGGCGTACCAGTACCACTTCTGCGTTAGAATGCAGATTCATGGGTCCCCCACTAGATCCATGAAACAGAACCTGCCCTTTTTAACCAGATTCTTGATTGATTCCTATGCACCTCAAGGCCTGAGATGCACTCACCTAGCAGTCATGACCACACCAGAACTTGACAGTCATCGGGAGCCGGTCTTCTTCACTGGGTGAGAAACAACAGTCCAGGAGGTAGGAGTCCTGGTCATTGGAATTGTTGGGAAAAGCCTGGAATTTTGTGTTATAAAAGAAACCCAGTGATACCTTGCCATTTGGAATTGTTAAGGAATGTCTATTTGATTTTATTATAAATCATATAAACTGTGATAAAAGGGAAAATTCTGTCTAGGCTGATACTTAGTGTGCAGCAATATGCAATTGATACTCAGTGTGAAACACTTATTTTTCCATTAAAACCCAGCTGTCCTGATTTAAGAGCTCCTCCAAAAATATCACTTGATATTTAGCTTCCTTCACTTAAGATTTGTTTGTTTAGACAACAAATTAATTCTCGCCACTACAGAAGGGAGAACGGAGTGTCATAAAGCCACAGAAGGACGTCCCCGCCTCCACAGGGCCACCGTGGCATGACTGGGGGATATTGTGACCAAAGGCCTGACCTGGTTGGGAGGAGGGTATAAGGGGACTAAAAGGCAATGAAAAAAAAATACAATAAAGAGTAAATAAACCTTTTAAAAAAGCCATGTCCTGGTCACACAAACTTACAGGGGCAAGATGGGCATTGCCCGAACCAGTGCTAGTAGCTGCATGTAAGTGATGTGCTTTTTGCTCAGGGTTGCTTTTTGCATCTCTGTTTCCAGCAGTGCTTTTGTCCTGCTTCTTAGATGATAGTCCCTAAGGAGTGAGTCTCCATGTTTACCCTGCAATGGGCTTCCCAGGCCATCATTTCAGATAAACTTTCCATGACTCATTTAAGTCTATACCAGGCACTTGTTCTGAGTCCAGTGCAGGGCTGGGGCTGTGAAGGAGACAGGAGCTGGGTCGGAAGACCCAGAATCTGTTTAAGTTGCATGGTCCCAAGGTTTGAGAGGTTTCTTGTCTTGCTGGGCAGAGTTAAATTGCATGTATATGTTTTAGATGTCTTATAGGCACACACACACATGCACACACACACACTACTGGAAAGAAATGAAAGAGTAATAAAGTGCTAAATTATATGGTTCACAATTCAAGTGCTATAGAAGGTTTTGAAAGAATGAGTTCCTTTCCTTTGAAAAGAGTAGAGGAAAGTTTACCATGGGCCCTGGTGAAGGTGTGCCATTCTAGTACACAGCAGAGGGATTAAGGGCATTCCTAGAGAGGAAAATCGAGAACAAAAGTGAGAGTTATTTAATATCCCTTAATCTTAATTTTCACTTCCCTAAGTGGGAAGAAGTACAGTAATATTTGTTTTTGTTGACTCATAGGTTTTCGTGAGAATTAAATGAGATGGTGTTTGTAAATGTTTTATTATCTACAGAGTTAATCAAACTGATTAAATGACTTCAGCCCGGGCTGGTACAGCTCAGTGGATTGAGCACAGGCCTATAAACCAAAGGATTGTGTTTTGATTCACAGTCAGGGCACATGCCTGAGTTGCAGGCCAGTTCCCAGCAGGGGACACACAAGAGGCCACCATACACAGATATTTCTCTCCCTCTCTCCTTCCCTTCCCCTCTAATGATAATTTTTTTTAATCTTAAAAATAAATAAATAAATAAATGATTTCAGTAGCCAAACCTACTAGTAGTGGTTTGAAACCAGAATATCAATTTTTGATTTTGCAACTGAAAAAAAAAAAACAGCCAAAAGATCTGTATCAGTCTTTTGCATAAGATTTTTGCCTGCAGCCAGTCTATTCAGAAACCACATTATAGATCACAAAGGTCATATTGGCCACCACTTATTGTCGACAAGTGCTTTGTGCTCTCTGCACACCCGGCCGTTTTGATTCCTCACAGCAGCTCTGTGAGGACGGGACAGCACCTCGACCCTGCACTAGCCGAGCTCCACAACTAATAAATAACGACGCCGTAACCTCATGCCCATCTGGCTTCAAAGATCAAGCTCTTATCCCTCCGTTACCAGGTCTGAGAAAGGAATCAGAGCGAGAAAAGTTATTAAGGTTTTTTTCTACCACGCCAAGTATTAGCATGGACATTTGAAAGAAAACAATAGCCAAATAAGTGAACTGAAGTGAACATTGTACCACACGTAAAAGGCACTTTTGCAACATTTCTAAGCCTTCTTTTTCACCTTTGGAGAGAATAGATTCAAGAGAGAACGCAGAACCAAGCTGCTTATCTCTGTAAGTTAGAGAATGTTGATTTCTGAAAGGTGAGAGGTGGGGTTACAGCTAACGAATTTGAATGGGTATAAAAACCAGTTTGCATAAATGACATCCGAGGCATGTCTTTTCCACATATGGTTGGTAGGCTTCCTGTCACCATTGCCTGTGGCCTTACCTTTGCACTAGTCTGTCAGCACAATCTTAGAACCATGTCCCAGCTCATTTTGTGTCCTCAAGGCACCACGAAGCTGCTGCTACGACATTTGTTTGGTTCCCTAGGAGAAAAAAAAAAAGGTGTTTGCTTTCTTCATACATTCCTGGTAAGTAGAGCAAGCCTTTTTTTTCACATTGCTATATAGATCATAGCGTAAGTTTAACACCTAGCGTTTGACATTAAGGAGGAGACAACCATCTGAAAATCAAGTGGATATAAAAGGGGAGATGACAGGTTGGGATGGCATCTGTGGGAGGGACGAATCAGGAGGCTGGGAGCACAGCCTGGGGATGCGGTGCTCATCCATCCGGACCTCAGTGAGCTGAACTCCCTTTCTGTTTATAGTCTCTCCTTTTGGTTTCCCTTTAAGTTATTTTGCAGGACTCTTTCAGGACAACGACTCGATGGGAGCTTTTCTAGCGGCTTCACCACACACTCCTGCAGTCGGCCCACCCCTCCCCACCAACCCCTTCAGTGACCCTGAGCACAGCCCCTGGGCAGACTCACCTGCAAAAGTCTAGATGGGTCGTTTACAAACTCTGGCTACTTACCCGCAGAAAGACTTTTACAAAGCTATCCACCCCCATATATATTTTAATTTTAATTTTATTTTATATTTATTTTTATTGTATTTTTTTCTATTACCATTTAGTCCTCTTACACCCTCTCCCCTCAGCAATCACCACCCTGTTGTCCAGGTCCATGAGTGCTGTTTCCTTTTTGCTCAGTCCCTCCACCCCCCCCCCCCCCCCGCCTTAGCTGTCATCTGGCTCTCCCTCTATGAGAATCTGTATCTATTTTGCTTGTTCATCCTGTTTGCTCATTAGACTCCACATATGAGTGAAGTCCCATGGTATTTGTTTTTCTCTGACTGGCTTATTTCGCGTGGGTCATTTACACAAGGGAATACTACTCAGCTATAAAAAAGACAAAAACTTTACCCTTTGTGACAGACAATATGGATGCATCTGGAGAACATTATGCTAAGTGAAATGAACCCAATTTTATTTTTATTTTCTACTTTTTGGTGTAACGAGATTTTAAAATTGAACCGTTCCAATACACTTTGGAATAATTTCAATAAAATAAAAGTACCACAAGCACCACAGGTATATGAAACACACCCAGTAGGTCGTTATGGAGACTCAAGGACTTGATAGATCCGCGTGCCCTGCGCACAATAAATGCTGTGTGTTTGCTGTGTACGTGGGTGTGTGGAGAGAGACGGAGAGTGGTGGCAACATGTCAGCAGTCACTCTTCGGAAGGGTTGCAGCAGCTGCTGTTGAAGACCCAAGCCATGTCTCCTCAACCCGTGTTGGAATTTGCTCACAGCTGTGGGTCACAGGTTCTGCCGCAGTGAAGAATTCACACCTCAAGTGACCTATCTCCCTGCTTCCCTGTCAGAGGACTTCCTCTGGCACGAAGAAGTTTGCTAATACTGGTGCCTGCCCTGGCAGGTGTGGCTCAGAGGACTGAGCACCTGACTGCAAAGCAAAGGGTGGCTGGTTCGATTCCCAGTCAGGGCATATACTGAGTTGTTGGCCAGGTCCCCAATAGGGGATGCATAAGAGGCAACCACACACTGATGTTTCTCTCTCTCTCTCTCTCTCTCTTTCCCTCCCTTCCTCTCTTTCTAAAAATAAATAAATAAAATCTTTTAAAAAATACTCATGCTGAGGTACAGCCTGCAGACTAAGGTACTTAATTCCCTCATGGTCAACCATCAACTCATGGGGGAAAGGAGGTGATGGAAGCAAGCCCCAGTCTCTCCATCCGCTGATGAGACCGCTGGGAGGCCTGTACCCTTCCCCAGATGGTCCTCAGCAGGACTGAGCCCTGGTGGCTCCCAGTGGTGACTGTCCTATGAAGCACACATTATTGCTGTTTTTCCTCTTCCTGCTATTTTCAAAGTCAATAAATAGATGTTAAAAAATGTTTTAGAATAGCAGCTCCATAGCACGGTTGGGCATTGTTCTTGGCTGTGTTCCAAAGCCTGGTCTGTGGCCCTCCCAGAGATTCTGCAAGCTAGTGAATGTCCCTTAGACAATCATTTCTGTTTCCGAACAAATCTTTGGTATTAAATATAATTAGCAGCAAGAGGTACAGGAGAGTGGATCTCAGCAGGGGAAATCTGTCACTCAAGGACAGTTAAACCCCTCTGAGCCTCTCTACTATTCCTGCTGTTGCCATTTTTTTTAAAGCATAAATGTGGTTGCTTAAAGCAGCATAAATCGATTCTCTTACAGTTCTGCATGTCAGAGGTCCAGTGTAGGTCTCACTGGGCCAAAATCCAGCCCCCTGCATCCTTTGGAGACTCTAGAAACAGCTCCTTTCCCTTGTCTTCTCTGGCTCCTAGAAGCTGCCCTTATTCTCCGGCACGTGGCCACTCCCGCCCTCTTCAAAGCCAGAAACAGCAGGTCAAGCCCTTTTCCCAGGTCATTGCTCTCTCTGCCTCCCTCTTCCCCTCTGAAGAACTCCTCTGACTAGATTGGCTCCATCTCAAGATCAGCTGATTAGCAATCTTAAGTACATCTGCGACCTGAATTGCCTTTGACCGTGTAAGGCAGTATTCACGAGTTCAGGGGTCAGGATGTGGACATCTTTGGGAGAGCCATTATTCTACTGACCAGAGCCTCATAGCTTGACTTGCACCCCTGCCTTCTCTGAGGATGATGGGAGGAAGCTGTGGCCTCCAGGCAGACAGGTTTCCAGCCCTTTTCCCGAGGAACGGAGACAACTATCTACCGAAGGCTGAAATAAACACTCTCGAATGCAAATAAGGGACAGGAGATCACGGCTTTGAATTCTGCAAATGTAAGCTTAGGTGGGGAGAATTTTATAGGTTCGCAGGTTTATGTTCCTTAAAATATGCAAATGAGGTATTCATTCCTATGTTCCCAAGGTATAATATAGTTTTGTTTTTGTTTGTTTGTTTGTTTGTTTGTTTTAACATGCCGCCTTGAGAAAATTTAGAGGGCCTGGAAGAGGCCAGTCAGCTCTGCTTTCTTGAGCAGCCAGTCAAGTCCACACCCCACCCCCTCCCCTTCCGGTCTCTCACACTCTGGGCCGCTACAGACCCTCACTAGCCTCCCCAGGGCCAGGTACCAGACAGCCAGGGGCAGCCCCTAGGTCCCTGAAATTATTCTCATGACTCAATTCTAAGCCTTCTTACCCTGCCTCCCCTGCTCCTTCCCACAGAAACCACAACAAGGTTCTTGCGCACAGTTCCCCTTTGCCCCGGCCGCCTGACTGACCAGGGTGCTTCCCCTCGGTGGCCCTGCTTGGCTGCTGGTTCTCCCCGGGGGGCTGTGAATGTGACAAAACTGTCACACTCTTTCCAGTTGCTCTCTCGTCACCTGCACCTGGCCTCACCCTGCCTCACCTCAGGTAGCATGGTTATAAGTGTTTAGTTCATTTATCTCACTCTTTAGTTTTTTTGATTGATTTTCCTCTCTGCAAAGGGCTCAGGGAAGACCTTTCTCAACGGCTTGAAAATTAATTTTAAAGCCAACAGAGGAATGTCCAGAAAGGCCTGTGGCAACTCCACAAAGGTCGTCCCACCCCAGATGCGAGGGGGGGGGGAGCCCTCATGCTACTCCACAGCAGGTGGGAGCAGGGAAAGGGCAGGGATGGGGACCAGCTCTAACACTGTTTCTTTGAGTCTTTTGATTGGTCTGGAAACCAGTCCCCAGGGTAGGAACATAAATTCTGACTGCAAGAAACAACCTCACAAACAACCAGACCCACAGGGCTCCAGCAAGTCTTTTCCATTCCCGGCAAATTCTGAAATCTCTTTACCAAAACAAATGCTACCCCATCTGCCCCAAACTCCTAACCTTACCTCTCTCATCTATGGATCCCAGTCCCCCTTCCACTCAGGAGCCCTGATTTCTCCAGCATAGTCTCCAGCCCCCGGGAGGAGTGGCAAAGGTGGCTCCAAGGGCAAGTCTGGATCACCAGCCCCTCCACCGGAAGCACCATCAGCCCCCCGCCCCCCGCCCCTCTGCTCTGACTCTGCCCCAGTCCATTTCTCTCCCACGCCTTTATCTCCTACCCACTCCATCTAGGGCTGCGGAAGATTCCACCCAGAGGTGTGGACCTAGGAGAGATACGACAGAGCATTTCACTCCTCTGGTGGAGGGAGGTGACTCATTCCCTGAGGGGGAGAGGACCAAAACATTTCCTATATCTGTCTCTGTCTCTGCTCTGCTCTGAAGAGGTGGTGGAGCTGTGTTGAGTTTGGGAACTACCGTGTGAGTTCCCATTAGCACTCTGAGTGCAGTGAGGCCCCTAGTCATATCTGCAGCTGAACTCTTGGTCTACTTTTCTCAATGGGAACTCCAGTAGTCTCTACTGGAAGATGCACACATACCACTTTGCTTCCACTGGGGATCCAAGTTCATCCAGCCCAGTTCTGCCAGGCCAGCCCTGGGCTCCCCCACAGCCTCACTTGGACAGGGCCCCTCCCCTCCTGTATGACCCCTGCCCCAGGGACTGTGCCCAAAGCAGATCCCAGCCTGTGCCGTGTCCATGCTCCTTGACCTCTGGGACTGAGAGTTGGACTTATTCATCAAGCAATAAAGTAACCATAAAGTAATATAATTCAACATCACTGTCAAAAGCAAAATAAATAGCCTAGTGTAAAATCTAGACTCAACAAATAAATATCTGTTGCTTGAGCTTAGCTTAAATGCAACATTGTTCCAACTTGTTTCTAACTTTTAAAATGGTTTCTTTTTCCAGACCACAGGATGTGGGAATACTTCCTAGGTTAATTCCATTTTCCCGTAGGACCTAAGTCACCAGAAAATACCCAAGTTCCTTCTCATTCTGTCACTGTGATGTTCCCATTGCTCCAGCTCACATCCCCCTCTGCCTTCCTCCCGCACTTGTCCCCTGCCCTGGGGGGCCACTGGGGGTGCAGAGAATGAGTATTGCTCCATGGTTAGCAGCCGAGTGAATGCAGCTGGTTCCACTGCTAACTCTGTAACCTTAGGTGACTTTGCTTCACCTCTCTAAGACTCATTTTCTGAAAAATGGCACCAGTAATAATAGTACTGATACTATTTTCTGTACTAATAATTTATTTTTTAAAAAGATTTAATTTATTTTTTAGAGAGAGGGGAGGGAGGGCGAAAGAGAGAGAGGGAAACATCGATGTGTGGTTGATTCTGGCACGCCCCCCACTAGGGACCTGACCTGGCTCACAACCCAGGCACCTGCCCTGACTGGGAATAGAACCAGCAAGCCCTAGCTTTACATGTCAGCACTCAGTCCACTGAGCCACTCCAGCCAGGGCTAATAATTTCTATACTATAATAATAATATGGATGATAATTTCTATATTAGAATAATAATGTGGATATCATCTTTATAATAATAATACCTATATTATAAAAATTGATCATTTATGTACCATATTAATGATACTGAAGTCTTTTCTGTATTATAATAGCATGATACTCTTTTTTGTGCTAATTTCTGTAATATGATTATAATTTCTGCACTTAATAGTACTGATACTACTTTCTTTACTAATAATTTCTACACTTTAATAATTTCTGTGTTAATAATACAATAATAAAGTATTGTGCTACTAATCATTTAATAATAATAATTCTATATAATATCTAAACTAATAATATCTGTACTAATAATATGAATAGTTTTTGGTAAAATGAGGCTAATGATACTACTGATCTTACAGTTATTCTGAGAATTATATGAGGAAAAAACAGGTGAAACACACAGAGCATGACACATGGTACGTATTTAATAAATGTTAGCTATTATTTAAAGAAAAAATTTCTATCCTCACCCAAGGACATTTTCTCCATTGCTTTTAGAGAGAGAGAGAGGGAGGGAGGGAGAGAAACATCGATTGGTTGCCTCCCGTATGTGCCCAGACCAGAGATCAGACCTGCAACCAAGGGATGTGCCCTGACCTGGAATTGAACCTGCGAACTTTTGGATACAGGACGATGTTCCAACCGACTGAGCAGCATCAGCCAGGGCAACGTTAGGTATTGTTGTTGCTGTTGTTAGACTTTTATTCAGCAGTCAGCCTCCCTCCAAGCTCTTGCGTCAGGGAAACTTGAAAACAAAACTTAAAACTGGCTCGGCTTTAGGTCTGCCTGGGCAAAGAAAAGAGGGTCCCTGAGAGCAATGTGTGGGGAGGGAGAGCATCGCCTTGCCTTGGGTGCCTCCTCGCCATTTGGGCAGACAGTTCATTGCTCCAGGTAAGAGGAGAAGCAGGTATGAGAAGGGTGGGACTAGGCAGCCTGGTCATGCAGTGGGGGGTTTTGTTCTCCCCCAGGTGGAATAGGAATTTCATTCAGAGGGACAGGGATGCTGGAGCATTCAAAGGAAGGTTAAGCTCCCTCCACTGTCCCCACCCTGGGGAGGTACCTTGGGCGTTGCCTCAGGGAAAAGCATCTCAGAAGCAATGGAAGATCCCGGGGCAGGAGAACACAATCCTTAAAGAGACCTGGATCTAGAGCAGAGGGGAATATTGCAGGTGTCCGTGGCCCTAATGGGTGGTATTTAGGGAAGGGAACGAAAGTGGCCCCTTTGCTCTTGTCTTCCTCACTTGCCCTTGGAGGGAGGAGCTTCTTTGCTGGGTAGGAACAGGCCCATGCAGCTTTAGGTTGGCCCTTTAGGTTGGATTACATTTTCTCACTTAGATTTGTAGGGCTTCATTTTACACTGTATTTTACTTAACATGGAGGCATTCCTGAAACTATTTGGACTGGAGCCCATCAATCAAGATAAATGATTTTTTTATGTTCTAAGTTAGAGGCAAAAGAACAGAAAAATCAATATGTACAATCTCCCCATCCTGATCTTCCGCCTCCAGCCTGGCAACCTCAAGTGTGTCCTCAGAAGCCTGGAATTGTTAACGAACAAATAAAACCTTTCCCTCCAGGCCCCCTAGGAAGTGGGGGCACAGAGCCCTCCCTCTTGTGTTCATCCAAAGCCTGCCTCTGAACTGAATGTCGAGAACTGACTTAACAGTCTTCACCACACAAATGCAGCTTTTCATAAAATAAAAAAGCCAATGCGTGATGATTTCCTTTACAGAGACAGAGAACAGACGCGCAGATGCCTCGTGCTGAGGGTAGGAGTGGAGACTGACTGCCATGGGCGCGAAGAAACACTTTGGGGAGTGAAGTGTTTGTTCTAAACCTGGACTGTGGTGATGGTGGCAGGACTCGGTAACTTCGCCGACCTCATCGAGTTGCACACGTACAGCGGGGGAATTTTATGATAGGTGACTGATGCCTTGCTAAAACTGTTTTGTTTTTTCCATTATTTTTATTGTATTCTTCCCTTAAAAGTTGTTTTTTTAAATTATTCTGTTGTAGTTGACCGGATTTTCCCCTGTTGTCCTGCCCAACCCCTCCCCCCACTCCCACAGTCAATCCCCACCTTGTTGTCCACGTCCATGGGCCATTTATACCTGTTCTTTGACTAGACCCTTCCTCTTCTTTCCCCTGTTATCCCCTCCCCACTCCCCTCTGGTTGCTGTCAGTCTGTTTTTTGTTTCCAGGCTCTGGTTATATTTTGCGTGTTTATTTTGTTCATTAGGTTCCTCTTATAGATGAGATCATGTGGTATTTGTCTTTCACCACCTGGCTTATTTCACTTAGTATAATATTCTCTAGTTCCATCTATGCTGTCACAAAAGGTAGGAGCTCCTTCTTTCTTTCTACTGCATAGTATTCCATTGTGTAAATGTACCACAGTTTTTTGATCCACTCTTTTACCAATGGCACTTTGGCTGTTTCCAGCACTTGGCTATTGTAAGTAATGTTGCTATGAACATTGGATGCATAGATTCTTTTGGATTGGTGTTTCAGGATTCTTGGGGTATAATCCCAGCAGTGGAATCACTGAATCCAAAGGCAGTACAATTTTTGTTTTTTTGAGGAAATTTCATACTATATTCCACAGTGGCTGCACCAATCTGCATTCCCACCAACAGTGTACCAGGTTAACCTTTTCTCCACAACCTCTCCAGAACTTGTTTTTCGATGATTTGTTTCTGATGGCCATTCTGACCGGTGTGAGGTGCTATCTCATTGCGGTTTTAATTTGCATCTCTCCGATGGCTAATAATGTTGAACATCCTTTCATATGTCTATGGGCCCTCTGTATGTCCCCCTAAAGGCGGTTTTTATGTAGTGGGCAACTGGTTTAAATTGGCCAAACAACATAGTGGTTAGTACCTACATTATAGTCCTGACCATGTGGATTGGAGAAAACGACTTCACAGCCCTCAGCCTCAGTCTCCTCGTGTGTACAGTGAGAGATGACGATGTATATCTCTAAAGCAGAATGAAAATTGAATGAGACAACTTGCAGAAAGCACTTACTTAGCTCGGCAGTGGCCTTGAAGCCACTGCTTCTAATAGCATTATAATTTATCCTAGAACCAGGAATGTGGGGATGCCCTACTGGGAGGGGTGAGTGTCGATCATTTCTTGACTTGGGAAGGGAAGTTCATTCTGGATTTTTCAATGAGAAGGCTCTGGAAATATCATGTGGTAATGTTGTTTCCAGACTCTTGGGCCCACCAATGCCCTTGTGTCCAGAAGTGCCACAGTTCCACTCTCCCTTTCCAGGGGTCTCTGGATATCGACTTTTGCCTCCTCCTGGGTCAAGCACTGAGGATAAAAGAAGTACAATTTGTTATGAAGCCCATGGAGAGAGCAGGAGGCTCCGGAGGCTCCAGGCCTCTGGGTGACTGTCCCAAGCAGGCCACCTTAAGAGATGCTCTAAGATAGATATGATTCCAGAAACTAGATGTGGACGCTTGACATTTCTGAGCTCACCCTTCACACAAGTTCAGAAATGTCAAGTATGATTGTTAGGAGCATTAAGGAATAACTGGGGCCTGCCTCTAGAAAGAGGCAGTGTGGGAGGAAGGGGCCTGGTCCTAAAAGCCATCTCAATGGCTTGTCCTCACCATGTGTATGGAGGACAATTTATTCTGATGTTTTTAAGGGACCATAGATAGACAGAATGAAGCATCAGTCATTCTGGGGGGGGAAACATACAGCTGCATCATCTACATCCTCACATACCCCTTGTCCACTTTGTCCGTGGCAGGTTTACCTGCTCATTCAGTCACTCAACATGTATATACTGAACTTCTGCTATCTGCCTGAGGCTGGTCTAGACAAAGCCCTTGCCCTCACAGACCTCAGTCTAACAGGAGACACCCACAATGAGCAAGGAATCACATGAATCTATACATACGTGCTAGCAAAAAAACGGATATGCAGGAGATAGGGTGGCTGGTTTCAACTGGGTGGTCAGGGAAGACTTCTGTGAGAAAATGACATTTTGCAGACCCTTGAGGGATCAAAACAAGCAAAGGTCTGGAAAAAGAGCATTCCTGGCACAGGGAAGAAGATTCACAAAGGCTCTGGACCAGGGGTGAGCTCTCTCTGCTCAGAGAGCAGAAAGAAACCAGTGTAGCTAGAGCAGAACGTGAGGCAGGCGTGGTGGTAAAAAATTAGTCCCGGGTGGTGGTCAGGACCTCGATCTGTTGGCCTCCTGGCTACGAAAAACATGGAGTTCTCTCTAAGTGTGATGGGAACATTTGGGGCAAGAGATTTGATTTATAGCAGGTTATTCTGGCTGTTTGGAGAACAGATTCCTGGGTGTAAGGACTTTGTCATCAAACTATTGATACAGAATTTCACACCAAAGGGACAGCCCCTTCCACCTGAGAGACCCTGTCCTCTCTAAGGCAAGAGAAGGAAGGACTGTGGACCTCACATTACCAGAGTGAGCAGAGGATGTCTCTTCCCATTTTCTCTCCAGTAGGTCTTCTGTTTTCAGTTTAGGCTCCTGAGTGGATATGACTCCAGTTCCTCTCCGCCCCAAGAATAAATGGATTTGCTTGTGCAGATTTACCTGTAGAAATAATCTGCACTCATTCTCTGACATTGGTTCTTCAAGACTTTGGGGAAAACATTTATTAAGATCTGGAGGAAATTTATTACATAAAATGTTTCAACATGAAAAGAACCAATTATGTCCCAGCGTGCCACCCATGCTGATTCATTCTTTCTTTCTTTTTTGAAACGCATCTACAATTCTAACCAGATCTCCATTGCCTGGACTGAAAGACAACCTTAGATGAGGCTTTCTAGCCGGAGAAATCTTTCCATAAAATAACTTGGAGACACGAGGGTGGGGAAAGGTAGTATTAGTCTTCTCAGGATGCCATAACAAAACACCACAGACTGGGAAGCTGAAACGACAGACTATTTGTTTCTCACAGTTCTGGAGGCCAAAGTCCAAGATCAAGGTGCCAGCAAGGTTGGGTTCTGGCAAGGCCTCTTTCTTCTACTCACATATCTGCCAAGCTCTTGCTGTGCCCTCACATAGCCTTTCCTCTTTCCTCTCTGTGTGCATGGAAGGAAAGCTCTGGTGTCTCAGCTGGGGACCCTATGTCTGAGACCTGCAATTTTCATCCATACGTTCATTTGATCCAAGGCCCATTAATTCAATGTCCCGTGCTTGGGAGGTCTCCACGTAGTCCATGCCCCCTCCATAAAGCACAGCCATGTGGGGGTCTCCAACTTACTATTCTTAGGAGCCAGAGAGATGACAAGCATTTCAGCAGAAGCAGACATTATCTGCCAAGAAGCATTCAACTACATTTAACATCAAATGGTAAAAAACAAATTTAAACATCCGTCTAGCCAAGCAAAATACATCTAAATGACTAATTGGGCCTGCAGGCCAACAGTTTGTAACCTCCGGTGACTATAACGGGCGTGACGTTTGTTTCTAAGTATGGGAACAGGGGGGACAGAGGAATGGGCAGCTCTTGTAAGACTCTTGACCCTCAAATCCCTGCTGGAGCTGAGGCAGAAATATTTTGAATCTCAAAACAGTTAAGAGACATTAAAATAACACCATCCTACTTTCCACTCATGGAGAGAAATTTGGGTTTATTACTTTATATCAGTATAAAGCAATAGCAAACTTAATATAAAATAATAATCCTTTAGGGTCTCAACTTAAAAGATCACTTTCCCTCTAAATATGCAAAGAGGAAATGTTTCCAGAATTAATCTGAAGCCTTTGTAGTCCTTTGGCTGAAAGGATCCCCTACTAAAAATTCCTTTGTTGTATTTTGACATGGTAAAGCCTTCAACACAGAAGTGGCAGCCGGACACCTGCCAGAGGAACAAGGGGCCCGGCCGTGGGCCCAGCACCCACTGGCCCAAGGGAGCCCAGCACACACGCCTTTGGTGTTCGGTAAGGATTAGGCGTTGAGATGGAAAAGGGTCCAAAGCCCTTTCTTATATGTCTTTCTTCAAAGAAGCAGACTTCTTTAAGTTTTTGAGGCTTTATCATTAAAATAATAAGTTTCCATTAGTGCCCCCCAAGTATTTTCATTTTTCGTTGTGCCTACAAATTGGGAGACATCGTAAACTATTTAATGAAAAGGTAAAATTAGAGGAAATTTCCCCAATCTGAGGGTTTCAAATGAAAAGGAACCAGACAGTTTTTCACAGTATATTTGACCAGTAATACAGAGCACAGTTCTGAGTCCTACTTTTCTTGTCCTGGGTTCGTGTTTGTGCATAAACTGGTTCCAGAGCACCAATGGGTGATCCAGCCAGGGAGATGTTAATCAAACAGCCAGTGCGTGTGAAATCCCAAGACAGCATGTGTACTAAGGAAAAGAAACACGTGAGAGAAGGATTCTTAGCAGACTGCGAGTTTAGGGATGACTTCCCCAGGAAAGCAACAGGAGCTGGAGCCGAGAACAGAAGCTGATGGGCATTAGCAGGGAGCAGGAGGAGCAGTGTGGCTTGCAGGAAAGCCCTGCCTCAGAAGGGAGTGCAGAGTGTTGGCAGAGCAGAAAGTTGACCGTAATGGCTGGACTGGAAGGGCAATGGGAGGGAATGACACCTGATGGAGGAGGAGTGATGTGGACCTGATGGCTCAGTGCTGCATGGATCACAGTAGGAAACCCTTACAAGGTTGCAAGTGGCAAGGGAAAGGAACCACGATCATCTTATGCTATGAAATGATACCACAGGCTGTGGCATGATTAGACAGTAGAGAGGTCTGAGCAGGAGCAGGGCAGAGTGACAAGCACTGCTGTAAGTCAGGAGAGGAGGCAGAAGCTTAGACCAGCATGGGGCAGTAGAGATGGAGAGGAGGAGGCAGGTGTGAGAGCTATTGTGGCCTGTGAGTGGTTGGATGTGCAGGGTGAGGGAGGAGGAGATGCTCAGCTAAGTTAATTTCCTCACGAGAACTGGCATGTTTGGAGGTACATTCACAGAGGCAGGGGACACTGGAAGAAGAATGAATTTGGGCGGTCACAGCATGAGTCAGTTTGGACAAATTGACTTGGAGAGGCCTTTGCATCCCCCAGTGACCCCTGGTCCCCCAGTTCACAGACCCCCACTTGTAACTGTTGCCGCAGTACTGGAAGAAGGTTATCTCCCAAGTGTGGTGGGGCAGATGATGACGCTCTCCCTCCATACCCCCACTCTGGAGCCTCTCCAAGAAGTCCACTTGAGGAGTTTCATGTTTCATTCTAGTTGAAAAAAAAACACCCTCAATTCTCTTATTTTGAGGTAAAGAGTAGGTAGGGCCTTCTTAATATGAATGTGGTGTTCTAACTACTCTTCCCCTTCTTGCCCTGTAGGGTTCGGCCACTCACTTTAAACATGGGGAATCAGATGGAGTAGAAGACAAGGGGGAGAGCCAGGCCCCTGAGACTATCCCTGGAGAATGAGGACTGGCCTGAGCCTAGTCGAGGGAGTGAGTCCCCTGCCTCTACTCTGTAATCCAGAGAGAAGGAGCATCTTTCAGTTTTTCCAACATGCCGTGCTTTCTTTCTTTCATGTCCCCATACATGCTGTCCCCTCCCCTTCCTCCTCTCCTCAGACCCTTTCATCTGGACACGTCCCTAATCATACTGCATTCCGTGCTCAGATATCACCTCCTTCAGGAGGCCTTTTCAACGTCCATGGTCAGTGATGTTCAGTGCCTATGGTGGAGACTGCTAATACCAGACACCCAATGTCCATTTTCTTCTTTTTGTTTTCTTGTACCACAATCCTAATTTTTAAGTTGAGCATATGGTGCTTGGAATAAAGACTACATTCCCCAGAATCTTTTGTAGCTAGATGTGTCCATTTGGCTATGTTCTGGCCAATGATATGAGAGTGGAAATGTTTGCAACTTCTGGGATGTGATCTTTATATGGAGCAGACATGCCTTTCTTCTCCTTCCTTCATTAGAATAGGACGGCTGATTCTCTGGCCACCAAGTTCAACCATAAAGCACAGGCATCACCCTAGGGATGGAGGAGCCTCGCACTGGAGAAATTGGGTTTGTTTGCTAATGATTTCATGAAGCTACTTTACATTTTGCACTGCCTACCTCCTAATTTTATTTATGTAAGAGAGGAATACAATTTCCATCCTGTAGAAAGCACTATTATTTTGGAGTTTTGGTAACATGCAGCCAAACCCAATCTTAACTTATCCAGCCCCACTGCCTCCCCACACCCAATGTGTTTGCACCCATTAAAATATTCAAACCTCATATTATCATTGCACAGTTACTTATCTGACTGAAACAAAATCTGCCCTTCTAGAGTTTACACTCTTTCTCATGTGCAGATGTGACATAAGTTTCTCCCACCTGACATAACCAATAACATTTTTGCAAGCGTCCAGAAAGTAACTGGAAAATTATGCAAAAGCAATGCTCCAGAACCTCTTCGAATGCTGCTTTCCTGTCTCAGGGCTACAGTCTCTAGGTGGTGCCACGGGTAAGGCTGTGTCCGTTTCAATACAGTCAGTAACACTGCAATACCTACGCATGGTGCCAGGTGGGCATGAGACTTATGGGAGGATCAATCCATAAACTGTATAAATGTCTAACCACGATGCCATATACCTGCAACTGATACAAAATAATATTAAATTTCAACTGCAAATTTATTTATTTTCGACAGACAAAAATAAGTAAATGAATGAAATTACGTCGTACTGGAAAAAAGTGAAAAGATGTGTGTTCCACAGTCAGAAAACCATCTTGCTCACTATCGTATCCACATCACCTGGAATGTGCCCCGGCGTGTCCAAAATAGAGAGAAAAGAAAAAAGACTGTGTCTATTTCTCCTCTAGTGCATTTCTCTCTCTCTCTCTCTCCCTCGGATTAAACAGTCAAATAATACCACCAATAAACCCACAGGAACTTCCACCAAGATGGAGGCATAGGAAGAGACACTGTGCCTTCTCTCACAACCAAGTTTAGAGACAACTAAATATTAGCAACAGAAAACACAGCCAGAACACAGAAAATTGAACTTTTTGGAAGTCTGATAACAACAAATTCTTCAGCCTAACCAGTAAGAGGGACGAAACCAGCACCTGTCGGAGCGGGGTTGCACAGAAAAACTCGGTCAGACGGACTCGGGCGCGCGGAACCCAGGCGCAGGGTTGGACCTAGTAAGCGACTCAGCGAGCGACTGAGGGGAAACAGCGAGGGAGCAGAGCTGCGGGTTGACTGTGGTCTCGCTTTCCTGAGCAGATAGACAAGCAAGGGAGTGGGCGGTGAGACTGCGGGACTGAGCAGGCCCCACGCGAGCGGCAGCACAGGGCGCCGCCATTTCCCTGCTCTGACCCCACCTCCACATACAGCGTAGTAACCCAGTGACCTGAGTGGCCCCGCCCTCACCCAGCAGCGAGAAACAGCAGAGGAGGTCGCCATTTCCCCGCTCTGACCACGCCCCCACATATAGCGTCACAACCCAGCGACCTGAGAGTCCAAGGCTCCGCTACTCATACTTAACGGGCGCAAACAAACCAAAAATGGCTCAAGAAGATCTCAAAGCCCCAGAGCCTATAAATCTAAGCGATGAAGAAATAGC